TTTGAAGTCAAATCCAGGTGAGGCGATCTGCGATTGGTGGCCTGCTCCGCTCATCAAACACACACCTGTCAACAAACCTCACCACGTGGTGTTAAAAAAAAAAACGTGATCCTGAGGCGTCTCACGGTTATTCGACGGGTTTTCCTCCAACTCCCAGCTCAGCTGGCCCGAGATTTGGCTGCAGTGCGCCGAGAGTTGGCCTTCAACTTTAGTGCTCCGAGCTTCCTCTGGAACCTGAAGAGTTATGGGCCCAATAAAACTCTCCTCTCATTCGCTTACACGCACACGCACTCCAGATAGGCCTATAGGCTCATGATATATACTACAGCTGATGAGCAATCCTGATGCTAATGTTATTTCCGTTTCATTAACCCACAATAAATTAAATATTGAAAGAAAATGAACGGTGAGGACTTTTCCAACTTTCTAGTACTCCACTTCGATAAAGTCTATTTTTTGTCATGGAAAAGGGGAAAAAATACACAATAGTATGATACAAGTAGTCGAAAATCCCACTATTTGTTTGAAAATAACGTACAGCAACTTTTATTTACAATTTTTAAGTAACATATTGTAAGGTACAATAGAGATTATGAGACTGGTTTCCTAATGTGTGAAATTTGGATTTAGTCCTAAAGTAGCATCAATTACAAAACCTCCTTTCATTTTTCAAGAAAACCAGCCTTGTGCTCTCGGTTCAAATATTTATTTTTCGAAATTATTTGTCTTTTTGCTGGTGGACTCTCCCAGTGAGGATGGAAGCCTATTATTTCATACTGGAGAATGTGCACTTGGCTTTGCTGGAACTAATCTTTTACTGGACTTTGACAATTAGATTGTCTGCCAAGAAAGACCTGGCTCAACCATTTCACTTCTATTCTCATTTTGGGTAAAGAAATAACAATGAAAAAATAAACAGAACACACATTCAGAAATGATCACATTCTTTTGCTGAGTGTATTTAGGTTTGATCCACTTCTCTTTGCCTCACCCATTAAAAATCTAATGAATAATAATATATCGTAAAAAAGAAAACAAAATTATATTATTGCACTGCTGTATACGTGGCTTTATTTTACATGTGTCTAACAATTAGAATATTTTATTAATGAACATTGCATACATTTAACATATTAACATATTCATTTGACGTAGTATTAAATGTCGAATGCTGCCAGTACTAGTGCTTATAGAAAAAACAGTATTAAAAAACGGTTCTGAATGTTCTTAAATTAGACGTGCTGTTCAATTTAAGGTAATGCGTTTCGTTTTCTTTTTTAATTATCTTAATTTTTTGGGAATAGACTTCCTTAAAAAGACTGCTTACTGAAACAGACGAAACTCGCCTGCTTTTGGACCATGGTCGAGATCTGACCGCTCGATTCTAATAAAAACCAGCAGTCACGGTCAAAAAACAGCACGGATTAAATAAAAAAACAACATATCTGTTGTGCTCCGGCCAGGCCGGTAGGCTCTTGAGGCCTTGTGCCAACACCCGGGCATAAAACAGGAAGATTTGCGCATCTAAAGAACCGAAAGACACCCGAATAAAAGCCTGCGTCAAGAAAATTTCCGTGGTATGTCCCATAGCTATACAACACAATAAAATAAAAAAGGACTGTTTTAAATAGTGACATCTCCATTTGAAACGGCGACAACGGCCTCAGAATCGTTGAGATACAAATGTCTCCAATTTAAATTTATACTAAACCAGCACTGGCGTTCATTCTTTTTCCGTTAAGCTTTATTAATCTATTCCCTTTGGATCTTACTTCAGCCTTAGTCATCCATTATGATTAATCCTACAAATGGCATAAACCCTATTTAGGCCATTTACGCGTCCGTTGCCTTATTCTGGAAAATCTACAAGAGAAGCTGCGCAACTCTGCAGCAATGCGGACAAACGGAGGGAAATCCGGAC